CTAACAGATTCACTATTCGTCAAAATAAAAAAATGTTTTGGCATTCGTTTTTTTTTTTAACTCAAATGCGTACGAATGTCACATTCGCCACTAGAGAATTGCCCATATTATAAATACATCTACATATGAGAAGAGGCAATTGAAAAGCCACTTCGGGGTAACCCGTCGCCGCATTTTATGCCCTTTCATAGATCTCAAGACCCACAACCTCAATCGCAATGAATTGATTAGGGGCAAAACAAGCCGCGAAATAATTGTATTGTGCCAGAACCTAGCCAAATTGTGCGCGCTCAGACATATCGCAGCACAAATTAGCAAAATGTTGGCATTTACCCCTGCATTTGAATGGCCACAAAGCCCTAAACTTAAGCCAAATGACAATGTTTAGAAATTGTAGTCTGTTTTGTTTTTTGTTTTTGTTTGCTCCTCTTTTTTGCGGAAGGGGTCTAACCCAGATGCTGGCACGAAGGTTGCTGGCTGCCAAGAAATAAGTGGCCAACTGGCAACAGCGGCTGAAACAAATGATCACAAATTTTATACAGCGACAGAACGACACAGGACAAAGCACCTCAACTATTTATCCCATTTGCAAAATATATATAAATTATTCACAGGCATCTCTGTGCAGCTGGAATAGCGGCGAAGCAACAATGTCCCGACCCCATCATATTTTCATAACTACTGACCAAGACTTGCCGTCAAGGGATTTGTTTAAACTATGCAAAACAACTCAATTCAGCCGGCGCGCTGAAAAGGAGGTAACGGCGCCCTGACTCAATGCGCGTAGCCATAAAACACAGACGAAGCAAAATTGGTGTCGCCTGGGTGGAAAACGGGAAGTGGGCAATGGGAATAGGAGGAGCACGAGAATGGCAAAAAGGCGTCTTCAACTTGAATTGATGGCTCAGACAACAAATTCGACTTGTGTGTCGTGTTCCATTGTGCGCTAATGGAGAAAGTTGTCAAGCAGCTGAACAGGGGCGGGAGAGGCCGACGCCGATGCCGACGCCGATGCCGACGCCGATGCCGACGCCGAGGCCGCCTCTTGGGCGCTAGGGCACACTTCCGTTATTTTTCCAAGACAGCTTTCGCTGCCCGGACAAGGGATCAATACCGAGCATTGCATAATGAAAACGAGTAAATGAATGCCAATCTCCTCCTTGGCTTTCGCTCTAGCACGCCTCAATATGTGTCTGCCTCAAAGCCCCCACACATGCGGACAAAGCCCTTGGTCATTTGCTATCTGCTTAGCTGTTCACAAAATTATTTATTTTTGCCACTGACAGTTTGCATTTGCCCCACAGTGTGCGCCGCAGTACGGCGACATATTGAAAAGTTTTAGAGTTTACAGATACTCGTGCCGCGCCGTCAGCCGCAAGATCGCGCACTGTCCAAGCAGCCAGCTGAGCCGGGCATACCCAAGCTGGTCACGTCGTACGTCGTCGTCGACGACGCTGTCATCGCTATCGTCAACGTCGCCTCGTTGACTAAAACTTATGAGTTTTGAAATGAAAACTGGTACAAGCGGAAGTGCAATTGAAACGCCGCCATAGTCGTTCTGCATGTGTGTCGTCGACATTGTTGTTGATGGCTAACGTGTCACTACGACCAGACCCCAAGCCCGACCTCAGCCCCAGCCCCATCCCTAACATCGTTACCGTCATCGTCTTCTTTGGCGGAACCGTTAGCGCAGCCGTTTGTGTGTATTGTGTAGGTTTTATACAAAGTTTGTGAGCTATTTGAAAATTCCATTAGACCTTGCCACACACACACACACTCACAGCTGCGCAGCTCTGCCAAGGCACTCGGCCTGCCCTGGCCTGGCCGCTTCTGTTGCTGGATCGGTTTTTGTTTGCTTATGTTTATGTATGCAATGCAATATTTGCGCCATATTGTCGCCTGTGGTCTGGCGGACTCACAACTTTTCAGCGGACATAGGCGCGAAGAGCCAAATGGCGTAAGCAGCTCGCACAGGCCAAACAGTCGTGAAACGGCAACACGGGTATTGTGGTTGTCCGGGTCCGGGTCTAGGCAATACGCCATTAAGAGTGGCTCCCAAAAACATAATTTGCTAAGCGCGGATCGGTACGTGCAAACGATTTTCTCGAGACATATGATTTATGCGGCAAGTGTAGTGCCAGTGACATTAATTATATTAGCTGTGATAAATGCTTTTTTACACGGTCCATATGGTGTCGTAAGGCCAATTATTCAAATTACCAGAGCCAGCGTCAGAGCCAAAGCCAAAGCAAGAGGCGAGCAAAGCATTGCCGCATAAATCAGGTCAGACCAAGTGACACGTGCTTTTAATTCATTTATTAGGCGAATCAAGTCAAGGCACACATTCTATGCCAAAAATAGCAAATCAAGGCTAACTAATCCGCACAAGAAAAGCCAATTACCGACCGACATGTACGCCGAGTCGACCACGACGGAGATGACCACCTACCCGACCCGAGAGCCACCCGAGAAGTCAACACTCCGTGATTTTTGGGCGAAAGAGTCCGCTGTAAATGCGTTTTTGCAAACATCGCACGTAAATATCAATTGATTGTAGTCTTTCCTTCGACCCTCTCTGAAACACTTCTGAAGAGTCATCACAATACATGTCCAATTCAACATAAACTGATTAAATGCAAAAGGGATTGAAGTGCTTGGGGGAATCAAAACTGCATTAATAAATTGAATATTTTCCACTTTTGCAACGTGCATCTTTTCAATTATAATCCTCCCGTTTTTGCAGCCTCATTGTATTTTGCTTAGGGATTACTCCCAATTCCGGATATATGTTTCAAAACAAAGCCTAATTGCAAGCATTGATCATACAGGCTATCAATGTTAAGAAAGCAATCGCATTTTGTTTTTAGTTAATGGAAGAATGGAGAGCTCTACTTCCATATAAAACGCTACAACGCTAGCAAATACTTGATATATTTTCTGTGTCTGATATATTTTCAATCTATGAGCTCCGACTTTATTGTCTATTTTGATAATATAAATTGATTTCAAATCCATAATAAAGCTACACTAATGATTACAACTAGAAAGTTTGACGTGAGAGAATCATAGAATGATCGGAGTGGAAAGTTTAATGCTTTTCTGTACTTTGCTAATGTCATTTGTATAAAATGTTGGTGTAAATACTCATTAGCAATTTTTGCTAGCAGGAAACTAGTCTCTTGAAGCTGCTTGGAAGTAAATCAATGGTATTATCACATTTTATTTATCATTTATATTATATCTGAGATGTGGCTATCCCCTGTGAATAGAATTGAAATAGAATAAGCGTGTTTTATGTAATATTTTGAAAACTTCGATATTTGCGAATGATTTTGGTTGTTCTTTTATCATCCCAATATCAATGAGTCGTGTTTAGGTCACCCACGTTTCTAAAAAGCCCAATAGAGATTCACCAGATTAAGGAATTGCAAATTTTATATCTTCACGGCATAGCTCTGCTCCAATAAACAGTTTTAAATGGAATATTTGTTCAAACGATAGAGGATTCAAACAGTATGTTATTGTTAATACTTGACAATTATCAGAGAGGTCATCATCATCATGCAAATAATAGCAACAATAAAATGTAATAGGAGCTGAAGATCATCAAGTGTAAAAAGTTGCAGAAGACGCGAGCAATATATCGAATGCTCTGATGCTGTGATTCTTAAAGACTATCAAGAGTGAGTTCCTTAACGGATAATAAAACAAATTCAAAAATTCATCACAGAACCCGTTTAATAATAAATCGGAACAATGCAAGCCAGAGTAGCATCCTGAACGACAACGGAAGTCAAATGATTCAGACACGTATGTGCACGCCATTTTACGACCTACTCTAAACGCTACAAGAAATATGACTCCGTGCGGAATATTTATGCAAACTATAGCTATAGCAGAAGTCCACCCACATACATTCCCCCACACAGTTGCATAGACGTTTTACAGACTCTAAGTACAATGACGCACTCACATAGTGTTGGCAGGCAAAATATTCGAAACTTTGCATATGCATGAGCTGGCGAGTGGCGAGACAGAGACAGAGAGAGGGAGAGCAAGTATGTATGTGTTTGTATGTGTGTGTGTGTGTGAGAGAGAGAGAGAGAGAGAGAGAGAGTGAGAGAGAGAGTGAGAGAGAGAGAGTGAGAGAGAGAGAGTTGGGAGTGTGGCGCATTACATTTGTTAAATCTGGCACACGAATGCAATAAATCACAACACAGCACACAATATACACCCCCGATCCAGCATATGTAAATACACGCACATATCCACCATCCAACACTTACACACACCCACACACACACAGGCAGGAGCCACAAGCTCACACATACACATGTCTCCCGCCCTCTCAGACGCCGCGTGCATACATTTGTATAATGGTTATTATTAGTAATGCAAGCGCATAGTTCGCCAATGACTCAGGCTCTAAGAACTCCGAAAATTATTGGGGTCACACGTGTAAAAGGATATTTCCTTATTAACTGAGCGTCCCGCATGTATGAGCGTGTGTACGGGTGTGTGTGTGCATGTGTCCTTACTTCAGTGTCCATAAATGTATTCTGGTCACAAATTATTATGGTGTCAAATAATGAGGCGGAGACTGTCAAATTTGCATACGTAGTATGACACAGTATCAGTTTGTTATTTCCAAGGACTATTCTGATATATGCATAAATTTAAGCACAATGTATGAAAAATGGGA